GCTAAGGTTTACCTCAGGTCAATAAGAATAATAAAAACAAAAAGTAACAATACCAGTATTTAATGATGATCTTCTTAACGGTTTACCGCTTCATAGTGGCTAGGAGGTGCTCCTGGGTGTCGGACTACGATGTCCAGCAGAGGGATTCATCCCCGCAGGAGCGTTTACCAAGCTGAGAAGGAGTCCGGCGTTTCCTTCAGGTAGTCCACGTAAGAGGTAAACCGATACCAGCATCCACCAGCGCAGTGGTTTCAAACAAGGCGCGTGGTGGCAAATCTTCCTATGATCCACAACGGCGGCGACTGTCTGTGATGGTGACGACCTGGAGCAGACTTTGGCCAGGCTGACCTCAGGAGTCCAGTGAAACGCAATAGCTAAACCAGCAAAACTCAAAAAAAAAAGGATTGTGCTGAAATCCCTTGTGAGGACGGGCCATCCAGTTATCCGAGTAAGTAATAAGTAATGATAATAATGATAATGACAATAATGATGATAAATAATAATAATGACAATGATAATTAATAGTAACAGTAACGACTAATAATAAAATGGTAATAACGACAACAATTGATAATAACAAGTGGAAGTCACGATAGTTAATAATAACAGTAGTAAATAAGAACAACAATAATAACAATAGCGGTAGTAATAACAATAATAATTTTTCGATCCTTTTGGAACTTTTACCTTTTAAGTGTGATCAAGAAAAAATCTTGTTCCGTTAACCTTTCGTAGTAGATTTGACAACGCATGCATATACTGGCATTTTCATATATTTGTTATATTTTCCGATCCCATACGACAACCATAACTGATAAAGCGGATAGAGGAGAACGATAATCAAGAAGTTCGGGCTTGAATCAGAAAGCCAGAAACCAAGTATACACTTTGACGCAGTCATATTCTGTCCAATAGCAATCAAGAGCCAGCGAAACGCGCTATTTTTGCTAATACAAGAAACTAGCCATATGCCACTGTTTCAATTTTTCTGCCATAAGTAAGAAAGTGTTAAGAACAAAGTGAAGCTAAGTATGGGTAAAAATTTCTGTCAAAAAAGTTCTTTTTTCGTTTCTTTTTCTCAACAATATCTACAACTGCGCATAAATAGGAAGAAGATTCAGTTCATGAAAAAACCACGGTGCAAAGGAGAACAAATGGAAGTGGATGTTTCTCTACTGCAGAGACCACCTAGTACACATATCTCGGGCTATCAATGAACATAGAAAACAACATCAAAGAGGAAATAGATAGAAGAAGGAGAGCAGCCTGGGCCGCATTCGAGCCACTCAAAGAAGCCACCGTAGGTCAGCTGAAGAACACGAAAATCCTCACTCAACCTTTCGATTCAACGGTGCTATAACGCTGTTTTACTGCTGAGAGGTGGTGTTGTAGTTCAACCACGTCAAAAATACTCCGCACAGGGAAAGAAACGAATAGCGAATGTGCTGCGGACCGCACAACTCACATCATACTCATACAAACAAAAGTGCCACAATTAATCAGTAGGGGACGTAAGTGGGAAACCGTCAACATTATCCATTGAAGTCACATAACATCAAATGCACAGTGGTTGCAATGGATTTTCTTTCCTGTTCTTTTTTCAGCAGCATAAAGTTTTTTTTACCACATTTTTTAAAATTCAACCGACAACTTCATCACAGATGTTTCACCGTGCGTTCGCAAAAAAAGCATTTTCCGCGTATAATTTATACATATTTTTCCAGAGATGGATATTTCTCTCATAGGGGATTACTCTGAAATTAACACTTCATTTACTGCCTATTCTTTTTAACGGCAGGGTATGTTGCGAAATATAACTACTATAATGCTGAGATATTTGCAAAACTCCGGACCGCAGGAGTCTGCGGTGGGTAAGGAACGCGCTATTGTCCTTTCCGGAGAGTAACGCGTTCGCCACCACATCATTCGTGTCCTTCGTTTCGCCTGTCTTTCAGCTAGTTCTTTGTTATTTCCTCCGCAGACACCTGCGGTCCTGAGTTTTACAAATATCTCAGCATTATAGTAGTTATACTCTAAAATTGTTAGTGGTGAAAAAGTTATGTAGATGTAAAAATTGTACAAAAATAACTAACATCTGCGATGATTCCATTCTTATCGTATGTATAAAATAAACAGGATGCTAGTAATGAGGATACTTCATGTAGCTATCCTGAAGATATTTTGCTCTCTACTCTTTATGTTCAATGTATACTGGTAAAATTTTAGCGACTTAAATCTCGTTGTCAAGTTTTCTGGAAATTTCAGTTCCAAACATATTAAAATTTGAACGTACACTGTGTAAAAATAATGAAAGCAATTTTTCGCATAGAGCACATTCTCTTGCATAAATCTATAAAGTCCTGATTTTTTGAAATGTTCCACTAGTCGAGAAATCGTTACTTCGAAAACCAACGTTGCCAAACGGTTACTAAGCGACACACCACTTTGTTCAATTTCTAAACAAACTTACCTGGGTTACTAACATCAGACATACTCTCATCGTCATCTGAAAACGTAGACAGACGGCTATTCGAAGGAAGTCTGCTTGGAATATGATTGAACGATTTATTGCTGAAAGAAATTAAGAAGAGACCTGGAAAAAGGAAGTGGAGAACGATAAAACTTTTTAAAAAGACTTGAAACTTATCTGATCCACCAAAAAAAGAACATACCCAAATCCAATCTTGGCCGGCTTTTTATAACAGTCACGTTCGCTCTCAGTTTCTAACAGCGGGCTCTTATCTTGAATTCTACACTTTTTTTCGAAATCAAAGTCAGTACGGAGAGGCCCTCCATTGGACGCGCTAAAACTATCTAAACAGTAATTTATGAAAGAACTGAAGTGTAAAATGATGAGCTAAGCGACGACATTAGGTACTTTAAAGTGAAAAATTTTTGCCCATAAAGCCCATAAAGAAACCCCCTGGTTTACCGCCCCATTATGGCTGGGGTGTAGGTGTTCCTAGATGGCAGATTGTGAAGCATAGCGAAGTTTATCCTCCAGTATGGTATGCCAATCTGAGAAGTTCCTTTCCAGAAACCCAGCTAAGAATGAGTCAAGAATCATGAATCACTTCCATCTTGATATCAAACTAGCATCATGGTGTAAAACCTTCTAATCTATAAGAACGGGGACTGCCTGCGGTAGTGACGACCTAAGAAAGACTACGGCTATGCTGACCTCTAGAATGCAGGAAACCATATTGGCTGAACCAACAAAGCTCCTCCCCTAATACCCCCAAAATAAGGGCTCTCTTCCACGACCTTTGGGGGTGAGGCAGCCGATGAAAAGTGAAGAAATCTCGGGTTGCACAGAACATCACTGGAAACGGACAAAACGAGCACGCACGCAACACACTGTTTGGACTGCCTCTTGCTCAGTACCTATAACAGCAGAACAGCCTCTTCTGCCCCGACCCTTACGCCCATCTTGGAACCACTGGTAGCACCAAATTCCATGTGATCACCCTACAAAAGACAAAAATCACGGAGACCGGTATATGCCAATTAAACTCTTGTCATTCGCGGAGGAAAATTCCGTCACGAAATAACGGAGGCGTTAGCTTTGTCGTATACATATATATATATATATATATATATATATAAAAGTATATACATATACACGTATACATGTACGTGTATATATACATGTACTTATATATAATTCAAATATGAATGTATGCACATACATGTACATATATACATAAATGGACATAGATATATACTTTACAAAAGGTTCAGGAACAAACCAACCTACACAGGTGTTCGTTCGACCCCGCACCGGTCTCACCTAGTGTGTCAACCGGTCAGGATCTTGATATTGGTAGTAGAGTTATTTGGGTCAAACTAGCTCCTTCTGATGCTTGTGGGAACACCCTAGCAAGGCTAGCTCGGGATTTCGAGAATTGACTTGACCAGCATTGAAGGCGATTCACGACGAAGATGAATAACTCCTCAAGCGGCATCCGAATCCATGAGCAAAAATATTCGAGGGCCCTTGCCAGCGGTGGATGCGAAGAAACAAGTCGAATACAGGAAGAGATAGAATCCGTAGATAGTTTTGATGCCGGGTCAAGGGATAATAATAATAACTAAGAGATAAACAAAATATGTAAGTATAACACGAAAAAAGGACCAACGTGCGAAGCATTGCAGACGTACTACAAAGCCTTTGAAAAATAGAAATTCTCGCTTGGTCCCACCCTAGAACAGTATTTATAATTAAAAAAGAACAACCACTACCTCACTACGAAACTACTTCTCTTTTTTTCGATGTATTCTAACCTTTCTCTTTCGACTTTTCGGTGGCCATAGATCGAACGATATCTTTATTCTTTTCGGTCACTTTCCCAAACCACCAATTACCCTTAATATTATAACTCACAGTGGAACACAGAATAACCCTCCAATGTCCTATTGCAAAACTAAATTTTAATGTCATAAAATAAACATAAAAACGTACTTCAAAGTGAAACATATCAGGATATGACTTCAACAGCGTCTGAAGGTCGGGGAAACCAAATTGAGTAACATCACATTCTTTCCCATTAAACTTCCTAAAGGTTTGACAGTCTCTTAACCTCCTTGTGAAATTAAGATCGTGTTTCCTACTTGAAATCCTTCAAAATGTCTACAACGGTAGCTCCTCTCCTAGCCAGGATGACAGAATTCAAGACGTTGAGATAATCGTCCAACTTCGAATTTGACATTGCAAACGTAGCAATCTGAGAAGCTAAATTATTCCAGATAACACGGCTAACCACAGATAAAATGTAAAGTGGGTACAACCGCTGTGTCTAAATGAAAGAATGTTGGAGAAGAATTTACACGTGCTAAACCACAAACCAACAAAGAACCCGTATTAAGAAACAAGATGGACGAGATCAAACCATGCAATTGACAATAAAAGAAAACGGAATGATGTTCTTTGAAAGTTGGCATAAATACACCAGTATAATAAAGACGTCTCATCGACTCAAAATTGTACGTGGTGACCCATGCTACTCTAACAGAATACTTTCAATGGTTTGAGCAGCCATTCGTATTGAAACCATTGCTGAAGGGGAAGTTTCATGCCACAGAGTATTTGCCAGTAACTCCAGTACCTCAAAGTAACTGCTTTCAATTAACTGATCGCGTCTTTGCTTCCAAGAAACACAACACACATGACACTACAAACCTCTTCATGAACATCAAATATACATATGTTTTCATACAACCCTTCAGCGGCAGCGCGCCTAACAACAGGTAGTGCGTTTGAAAGCGACCGTACTACCTAAAAGTAAATGAATTTATTGATGGAACGTTCATATTATTCTGCTTCTCAAAAGCAAGAAAGGATGGTCCTAGAAAGTTCAATGAAAAAAAAGGAAAAATCCATATAAAGCAACGGTGCGGCTTACCAGTTGAACTGCGGTGTACCAGGTCTGAGTGTTACGATTGCATCCTAGCAAGGAACATAGAGAGTTGAGCGCACACTTGATCCGGAATGGTGACATTGTCCGGGAATTCATAATCTATAAGTAGTGAAATCTCCGATAACAAAGCAAGATGAGAACATTCGAAATAAAGTCATCTACTAAGCGCACCTTTGTCAGAAGCACAATTATGCGAGAGAGGGCATTCGAACGATCAGGACAGTGTTCAAGAATATAAAGCCTCGAGAGAATTTGCGGAAGAAAACGCAAAACACTATTGCCGATTCGCGGAACTTTGCATCCAATATGAAATAATTCAGCCACCGAGTCAAGGAAACGCTCCATCAACTAGAATGAAACTTCTGATCCGAAATAGAGCTCGTTTCCATTTAATCCATGAGAATCAATAATGTACGTAAACAGGGAGAAAACAACAGCTGCGGAACCTTCAGTAAAAAGAACTAAAAGATCACGAATCTCGTTTTTCCGTTTTCATGTCTTCATGAACATTTATTAGCGTATTCATTAATACATTCGTGACGACGTTTAGCTTTAAGTCGGGCATGCTGTGAAGGTTGGGTAGGTGGTTGGAGGAGGTACCATCACTTGCAAGAATTGAAATTTGATAATACATAACCGTAGTTCTTTCACAACGATTTTTCGACGACAATGGTAGAAAACTCGAGGAACTGAACGGTTAACAAACAACTCATACAAGTGATCTGATCTATAGTTCTGAGTACATATGCTATCATGTAACCGCTAATTCCATTGAATAACGATCAACACCTCTCAAATCATATCATCTATTATAGCTGACGTTTCAGCGGTTTCAAAGGCGAAACCACCGGAGAGAAAGTGATGTAAATCGTCTCATACCAAGTAATATTAGTTCCTATTTGAGAACCGATTTGAACTCAATTCGTCATTCGAATTTCGAATTTCATTTACGAAACATTCGAATGCATTAAAAAATATGCCAATTACGAAATAACAAGTTTGTTCGACAAGAGGGACCGACGTAATAGGACGTCTCCATGGGAATAATGCACATATTCTTAACTCCAAACACGTTAAAACCAATACCATCAAGTCCTTCGAAATGGACAATTGATACGCCATTAAAGCTTGCGATGCACGCAACGTGGTGCCTTCACTAACACCTCCTGAAAGCAGAACAACGACATAGTCTTAAATGAAAAAGTCTTAAATGAAAAGGCAAGAAAAGCTGCATACCGGCTGACAAAATGAACCCACAAATGAGGTCATGATAGTATTCTTCACAAGACAACAGAGGTACAACTGAAAGAAAAATGGAGTCCTGAAAAACGAAACAATGGTTGGACGATTCGAGTTAGAGTGAAAATTAGAGAAGGAAAACCTGAATGAAGTCATATTCACAGCGATAAATCCCTGATAACTCTTCAGCATGCGGAATATGCACTCGAATAGTTTTCACAGATAAAAGTTTTTTAATGCACTTACAAGCAGTCTAAAAGACAGCGTTTACGAATATTACGAAAGAACAAGAGAAATAAACACTGTTTAACCACAAGATGTTATACGAGCAAAACTTGAACCTCAGGTGGGCTTTGCACTTGTTATTACCTTTGCCGGTGCTCACTTGCTATCCACCACACCAACCGAGACTTTGCCTTGCGTTTCACTCTGCTATATTTTTACTTCATCGATCCTATCAGCAATCAACGTTCAACATTAATGATCAGGGTGCACAATAGCCCCCCGAATTTAGTTAAGGTCAAGCTGCAGCCGAAATCACAATGTTTAAACTTCATTTTTTCCATCTTCATTTTTCATGGCAGGGTATGATGCCTATTTGTGCTTCCCATATAATTTCTGTTGACGGATAATTGCTGACAACATGGACAGAGTAACGGAGTAAAGACTGGATGAGACAAAAGATAAACAAGAATTTCTGTTAGTGTGGTGGATACCACGTGAACACCCCTAGTGGGAATCCCAAGTTCGAAGCACATCTGAGGTTCCGAGTTTTGCTCACATCTCAACATCCCTGTGGTTATATTCCATATCGCACCCTCTGATGAAAAACAAATAGTAAGAAAATAAAAATAAAAATTAAAAATATATACTTCTCTAATTCGTCCAATTTTGCTAACACTCTGCTGAATGATCGACTGCACTACGCGTTGAATGTATTTCTCGATAATAGCAGCCTTGATCTCTGGAAGACATAATACCTCCGTCATAACGCACATTGCCGACATTCGCACCTGAACTTGCGTTTGCAGTGAATCTCAAAACAAGGTCAATAACCGTAAGATAAGGCCACAAGTTACCAAACGTCCAATGTCTCCATGATAATCAGTAGTGTAATCTTCTGCAGCACGAAACAAAACATCAAAGACTAAGGGAGCATTAGCGTCGCATGACTGACCAGTAAATATTGCGCCAAGTGCATCTACGGCAGAACGACGCGCTAGAGCCCATTTAACATCTATATCACTCTGCCTGAACAAAGAATACATATTAATTTAACGCTAATCTATGCCGGGGTGCACCTGGTGCAGTGGTTAGGGGTGCACTGCTATATATTCGTGGTCACTGGTTCGATCGCTCGTCTCGGATTCACCAACCACTGTATCCCCACGGGTTCAACAAATTGGAACCAAACTTGTTTGGGAGGATAGCAACACTGGCTCGATACATTGGTAAGCTACCGCAAGTCATTGTAAAGGCCAGATATGCATTCAATCACCTCCAACGATAACAAGTTAAATCGAATGCATGGCGCATCCCTCAGGGAGTGATCGACGCCGAGAGCTTTAGCCTTTTATTGCTTAAAACGTAACAACACATAGTTGGAAGATTGACCTTTACATCAGCAATTTTAGAGTGTTATACTTGGCCATGGAACGATGGTACGTTGGTGGACCACCCCGAACCAATGTAAGGTCAGATACGCATTAAATGATTTCTAACGATGCTTAATGAAGTCAAATGCATGGCGCATCCCCCAGGTATTGATCAAACCCGAACGCTCTATCTTTTATCTTTCTATTATTAATCTAACCTCCCAACGGTTTAATGCCTCATCGTGGCCGAGAGGTGTTCCTGGGCGTCGGACTGCGATGTACAGCGGCGGGATTCGTTCCCCCAGCAGGGTCTCGCAAGCTGAAGAGTCCGGAGTTTAAAACAGGAAGTCTAGCTAAGAGTAAACCAATACCAGGATACGCCACCGTCCTGGTATCAAAGTCGCATGGTGGCAAATCTCCCTCTGATCCAGAAGGGCGGCAACTGCCCGTGGCGGTGAAGAGCTGAGGCAGAGGGATTCCAGGAAACCACAATGGCTTAACCAGCAAATCTCCGATAAATGGACGTCGACGACCACACAAACTGTTGATGAACCTGTACTTTTGTTAATCGTCGAGTGATGCCAGTAGTCTTCCCAATTTTCCTTGACGCTTGCAAGAATGGCTCAGTTATTTTACTCGCCCTAACTAGTCGATAAGCACCACATTCTTCCTCTGGAATGGCCGTGAAGAGGCCTGACTACTTGAGTTGATGGTTTTGCTACTGTGCTCTTAACACTTCGTAGCCCCACTAGCTAACAACTCTTGTCCAGCGGTTATCGTTAAGACTGATCATTTGTCCTGTCTACTTAATGTTCGACATTTTACCAACGTGTTTCTAATCTCTGGCCAAAAACATTGGTCAGAACATCTGATTACCTCGCTCGAAATAGTGAATGGAGCTGGTTGTTCTTTCCCACTTTCCTAAAACCTCGACGCTTTTCCAAGATTTCACGCACATTGTTTTCTACTGCTATCATATGAAACTACGTCGTTCATCACACCAACTCCACGACATAGAGAGCTAATTAGAGACTTAGAAATATTCTTTGAGATTTTACTTTGATATGTTGCATCAGTAAAAGAATTGTTTCTAGTGTTCCAATCATGCTCATTGTAACATCGGTTTGTGAATGTTCAATAGATGATCGATTTTGCAAGAAGCATTGCTGATATCGGTCAGTTTCGGTTCCTCTGAGCAAGAAGTCAACGTTAATGTAGCTGCTGGTAAACGACTTCCACTCCCACGTTATCCCATTTGAGTTCTTGAATGATTTCATCAAGAGCAGCTGTAAATAATTTTGGCACCACAGTTTCCCACTCATGGCAAAATAATGTTGCAGGATAAATACAAAGTTTTGGATACGAAACTTTTGCATAGGCCGATATTTATGCAATGTATGATGTGTGTAGCTACACCCTACTTGTCCGAAGCATCTTTGACCACTATGACCTCAAATGAGTCCTGTAAGTATGTTGTACCGAATTTTTCCAAATTCTAATTGAATGTTCTACTAGATGATAACATCTAATATTGTACAGACTGAGTGCAGTTTTCTACTGATGCGGCAGCATATCGAACTTTGAAAAGGAGCACAGCTGGATCAGTATATTTATCCTTCACTTTGTATGGAGGCAGGTTGATGTTAGTACCGAAAAATTGCAGTAGAGGTGAGCTTGTTACTGTCCTGTCTGGGCGCGCTATGGTCTCATGCTGTTTAGAATACTAACACAGAAGCGACATTTGTTCCAGAAAATCTTCGACTTAATTTGATACGGTATATTTAGTTATGATACGTGTAAGCTTCGCAAGGTATAGGAAAAGGCTTATGAAATTCTTAGTCTCACCTCGTTATCTCGCATCCAATATTGGCACCTTATAGACCTTACGACGTCCCTAAAGCCTAGGCGACTACATGCAATATTCTTCAACTCATAGTAGACCACAAAGAATGTCAAGGGTAGTACTGCTCCACACCTTTTTAAAGATAAACGTCACACCCACGTCTTAGTATTTTAAAAGGATCCACGGTCATCAAGCCAATCCTGCTGTCCAACGCCAGGCACTTTAGTTTGTTCTGAAAAACAGTTCCACAAGCATCGTAACTGAACAATGGGCGGCGTCTTTTCGTCTGATCCAGTCTGATGACTTCGTGCCCTATCTTCTTAACCTTTATCACGACGTCCTCAAATGAGCAAGTGAGCATGCGTTATACGTACAGATCAGATCAGCCATCCTATATTTAAGGATCCTAGAACTGCTTTGAGAAATTAGTTTTTTCGTATTCGTCGTCTAACAACGCTCCCGACATGGGTTTAGTGATTGAGGATTGATGAACATTAATTTTACTGTTTCAGGCGATTAATACCCATAGGAACCTTGCTGATCTATAGCGCAGAAGCCGGTAGGGCTGCTAGAATTTCGGGTCCTCACAGAGTAGATGAACAGCTTAATTTTTGCAAATGACTACTAGCCACCTATAGTTGCTAGTCATTTGACCATAGAATATAGAGTGAATTGATATATGGTGTACAATCCCCATATAATCATGTACATCCACACATTCATGCGTGTACGTGCAGGTACATTTTTTAAAAACGATGTGACATCACATATTGTGCAGATCTCAGCACTTCATTAGATTCATTTCCCTGCATTCACCACCGCGATTGTCTTCGGATTTTCGCGTCGGTTCGACTCCTGCATTAGGATTTAGTTGTTTTCATAAGTGTCTGTAAATGATGGTCGAATAGATTTTCTTTCGAATCCTGGAGAAACCGTGCTAGAGTGTTCCCAGACCTTCACTCCAAAGGTTTCTAGTCTTGGTGCAACATAGGGAGTTCTTCCTTGACAAGTCGATTGCCGATTTCACGAGCTAGAGTCTTGGGCGTATTGTTGAACGGCACCGTTATCAGTGCCTTGGCCGCGCCACTCCTACGTGTACACAGGACATATATGTCAACACGACATAGCCAAGAGGGCAATGAATCCACCTGGTCTTGAGACAAATAGAAGGTCAATGTTAGTCCGCGTTTAATAGCGCATCAGGTAACATACGAAACGGTATATATCTTCGCATATAATCAGCTAGAAATTTCAGTGGAGAGGATTCGTGGAAACTCTTCGTCACAGTTCTGATGACTAATCTTGATGAAGCATTGTTTCTAGATCACTGATAGTTACACCTATTAAATGTGAGGAAACGCATTTTCGTTCAGCGAAATCGGTCCTTTTCAGTTGGCTGTCTATTGTAAAAGCTGTGATTTTCCACAAATTTTGTTGCATTATTCATAATCTTATGTTGTAATGGTTTGGCTAGGATTGAAAAAGCCATAATGCATGACAGCATCAACCCACCAGGAAACAGACGCACACAACCTTTTTGATGCGAATTTAGCTTTGACGTTTCATATTTGTCTAAGCATTACTCACAATGTCGTAAGTTATCACAGAAAATGAAATCTCCACAGTATCCAGAAGAAAACGAAAGAAGACATTTGTTTTCATTGTAGGGAGAAAACGTAGTTAAAGAGTTCATGACGAAAATTTCTTTAGTACTTATTCGTTCAATTATTTATCTGCCGAATTTTTTGACTCTGCAAATCGATCAAAATTTCTGGAAACTGGTGCTTTAAATCTATTTCTTTCAAGTGTTCTACTCCAAAGAAAACCCTCAAATAGTGATTTTCTTCGTATTTTTGTTGAACAAACGCGAGGTGTTACTATTCTTTGTTCACGATTAAGCTGACGTTTCGGCGGATTTCGCCTTCTTCAGAGCCGCTTTCTATGAGGTTTCCACTAAGTATGTCACGTAGAGACCAACCGCACAGAAATCACGTGGAAGTATAATGTCAGATATACTGATAGTCATACTCAAATAGTCATACTGAATGATTTTTGGAATCGTTGGGGTGGTCCCTCAATGAACAGGTTAACGTTATGTAAAGTAGTAATATTCAAGGGTTCTATTTCTATCATGAAACTACAGAAACTGAGCTTTAGACCGAAATTTGAATTTGCATAAAAATTTCCCGAAATTTCCTGTCTCTTATTTAATGGTTTGAATCTAACAAGAATTAACAAGCATTCATATAAAAATGTTGAGCTTTTAACTTTGTAAATACACACACATCCTGATAAACGGCTAGAATCTCCGCTAACTATTTTACAAACTCCAATGCGGAAGCTTGATTATCCAAGAATTGCATTTATCAGAGCGAAAAACCTTAAGATTCGTTAAATTGAAGATATTTTAAATGAACGTAAACAAACTTACTTAAGAATTACATTGCATAATGCTTCAAACAAATGGGCGCTAACATGATGTGAAGGAATAAAAGCGACGATTGAACACAGACCTATTCGTTCACTTTCCCGCTGTGCATTTGAAATCTATAAAATCTCAATCTCAATCAATCTAATCTCGATAGAATTTGATCAATAACATATCTAGAATGTTAACCTTCTTGGCGATATTTTCTACCATATCGGTGACACCAATTAGGTCGTTCTTCCTGAAGTATGCTGGAAAAAATGTTGACGCAGCCGCAGCAGCGGCTGATCTTACAACAGCCGTGTCGTCGCAGGCAAGAATTAAAAGGCGTTCTTGCCACACCTCAATCTGAATATTTACGGTTTACTGACCAGATGAAATGCTTTAAAAAATGCGAACTGTAGGTTAGATTCAGGTAAACGTGCTCGTAATCAAACATAAAAGTATCAACCAAAAGACCATATTTCCATCAAAACTCTAGAGCACAAAAGAAATCTGAAGTTAAGAAGTAACCAACATCACTATTATCAAGGGGTACTGGAACTGCAGCTAAACAACAAATAAACTCGGCCAAGGCAAGACGTGTCAGCTCCCCTCCAGAAATTTTTGGTTTCGCTAATTCCGGTCTTAATTTCCGTGGCATTGCAATAGTTTGATGCAAAATCTAAATTGATTATAATGAAGTACGGTCTTGAATATACATAATGTTACCTCACATCTTCGTTGCAAAAACAGCCGGCTGAAAGCAGACCTTGAAGAGAATGAGATATTGCAAGCAGGAAACCGTGACGGTGGATCTTGAAATTTCACAGCTTGAAATTTTCTGTATTTAAGGTTGTCGAAAACCAGACTAACGGGATTTGAAGAAGTACAACCATCAAGGAGAATTTCAAGTTTAGACGACAAATAAGAAGAGTGTAGAGGAGCGAGGAGACCAAGGGCTACAGCAGCTTGTTTACGAACGACTTCATCCCAATGATTAACCTTAATTATCCACTATATTGATAACAGCGTTCAGGCAGGAAAACTCATTCTGTAGACCATAACAGAGAAACCAACTACCTTTTTATTTATAAGGTGATCAATGATGGCATCAGCATACTCTGGGAAACCAGCAACTTCAACACATAGTTTTGTGTAACATCGTGAACGATTACCCACTGCGATGTAATCGGCTAAAAGCACAAATTAGCACCTTAAATACTGATCTCATCTAAACAAAAAACTCTTTTGATACTATGAAGTCTCACCAATAGTCAGCAAGGAGATCCCGTTTGGAATATTGGATTGACGACCCACATTCTCTTGAAATGCAGCTGACGCAGCACGACGTATGTTCACTTCACGATCAAATAAGGCAACACATACCTTTGTTGAAAATATTTCATAAATTATAAAATAATTTCATTTCATATAATAGAGAGGCCAAATACAGATCCAGTATTATAAAAGGCCTAGAGAGTTCGAAATAATTCAAAAACTCCTTGAACAGGCTGTTCACTTACTAGACTTCTAGCCACGGTTTCAATGTAATTTGTCAAATCGTGCGGATCGTACGCTCGAGCAAAAGCCCAGAGAACGTAGCAAGCGGCATCGCGAACATTACTACCAAAAGCGTGTCCTCCCATCGGTTCCTCATAGAATAGTGCTTCCTGTATAGTAGAAAAGACCTAAACGAATAATTTTAAATGGATAGCATTCACAAACAACTAAACAACGTATAAAAACCTTAAATATCAACGGTAACCTTTTTTGCAATACATAACCAATATAAATATGTTCAGTAGGTGAATGAATGCCAAAGTTCAAAGGATGTCGTATTCGGAACTCAATCACAAAGAATACCTCCAAATGACTAATAGTTTGTTTTTGAGATTGCTTTCCAGGAACTCTACCTTCCCCGCCCATCATTAAAGTAAAAGTGGTAGGAATACTCATTTCCTGACTTTTTCGCGAGCTTCTGGTACAAGAGCACCACGGCGAGAAAGTTCAGCCAGCGCTAGACAACCACCGTGCCAACAACAATGACCAGCCAAGCAATGAAAACTTGACGAAAGAATTGAGTTCACAACTGCAACGAAAATGTTGATATAAAAAAAATACTTATTGCGAGGAAATGCGAATCAAAACCTTGAACGGCAAATTCCTTCGGCAGACGAGATGTAATACGGCCTATACCCTTTGCAGCAGACCATCTCACTGTTGTATGATCATCAGAAAGTGCACGCAAGACACAGCCGACTGCCCATTCTACCTCAAAAGGAGACAATTTTCCAACTATTCATGCTAGGCAGAATACAAATAACAACAAACTGTTTCGTCAGGATGTTCACTATCTTCGTCTACATAACAAACAACGCTCTTTTCGCCATTACTTAAGCGATCTTGATCTGTCTCCATATTTTGTTCACAACGTTCATCTCCAGAAGGCCTTTTCAAAATCTCTTCTAGACGACGTCTTCCACGTCTAAATTACAAAAGGAATGAAATTAATCTTTGCCTTCATTGCATGTTTATCACGTTCTATGATACTTTCATCATATACCGAAACTAATTACACTGAATTGTATAAAAGATATATAGAAATATGAAAATTGATGCCTAACCGATATCTCCAAACGGCCAGTCGTGGTTTTAAGATTATAAGGGCAAGCCTTTGCACCAACTTAATGAACATCTTTCTGGTCAGAGTATCTCTACTTGACGTCTCCAATGGGAAATGACGAGCAACTGATTCACGTATTGTTGCAACGTGGACCAAAAGATGTTGTCTATCCACCTACAAGTAACCATAAGCTCAGTGTCGTGTAACACCAACAAACAATTTGAACACAAACCAATCTAAAATGAACCCACATGCTTAAGAATAGCACAAATAAGCACGATATAGCCGAGAATGCACTCTGAGTCTCTAGAGATATGCTCTGCACACTCAGATACTATATCAGGAATAAGTGGTATACCATCATGACGAGCAAGACACTGAGCGATGACCAATACTGCGGCAGGCTGAAAGACCAGAGCAAAGTGTGTTTGTGTAAGAAAAAACTGATTAATATGAAAGAGTCTCCAGAGCTTCACCTAATATTATTTACGTCAATCGTAATTTCTCGACAGTATGTTAACTACTGGAGATTGACAAAAAAAGAACGCTAATGTAATTTTGCTAAAATGATGTTTCATTTTTAAGACTATTCAAAATCCAAATGTCTGAAAATTCCATCAGATGCCTAACCAGTGCAAAAAATATGGAACCCTTCGGAGACATTAACCACTTCTATTAGACTAAATCAAATTTTAAATCACTTCGCCACTCTAAACACAAGCGTAGATGAGAATAATAGCTTTATTTCAGTCGAAGAAGATTAGCATGAGTTGAAATATGGATATTTAAAGGCAAAATTCTCAAACGTTCCCGGTAAAGTGAGCACCGTTGCAGAAGGGTAAAAGTGGGCGAGAAGTGAAAACCAGATCGGACCACTAGCTTCCTTAAAAAAAAAGTGTGACCATAGAGATGCGATGTTTAGTAGAAGCAACTTGGAATACTATACTATACTATTAACTAAGAAGTGACTTCCATGACTGTTTCGATACAGAACTTTCGTGTCGTGCCGTAACAACCTAGTTACGTTGTTAAGACTCCCTAACCTGACTTTCTATTAACCTCGGCGTTGATGAATAACTCGCTACTTTCTTGACTGACTCAGATAAGTTCGTTAGCATTTATTCACAACAGTTGATGTTTCGGCGGATTTCGCCCTCCTTCAGACTCTCTATGACTCTTCAACTGAGTACTCTACGTAGAGATCAACCATGCAGAGTCCACATGGAAGAAATCCTCGTGTATCGAATGAGCATGTGTGTTTATAAAGAAATTAGCGAGTTGCTAAGGTTTTTCTCTTCTGAAATAATAGCTTACATGAGTCGTAGCCCATGGATACTTCAGGTATGAGGTAGCTACTTTAAGAATGCGATTTAAAGTTGAACCTTGTTTATCGACTGGGTCGAATCTGAAATAATTCAGCATAAAAAATATCGCAAAGAAATCAAAGGAATCAACACGAAGAAGTATTACCTTTTGAAATCGAACGGATTTTTGCACACTACCCATAGCCATAAAAGCAGTGTATGACGTTGGTATAAGTCGCTGCCTATATCACCTTGGTACTGTTCCAAAGAAGTCAAAAGTTTGTCCAGATACGAGACCTGCAAGCAAACCCTAAAACAGTACGCAAAATTTGAACTTGTCACATAAGGAAAACCTCAATTACGGACATCTAAAAAAGTTCAAAAAAAAATTGCAAGAAAAATACCGGGATTTTTTGGCATTGTTTCTGGGACTTCAACCTTTTCGAAATCAAACAGTGAATAGGAAACCGGGAAAACTATCTCAGTTCTCTAGTGAAGGTCCGGTGATGGAGGCTAAAATTGTTACAGAGAAGAACCACTCCCTTCAAAATGATACCACATAGGTCGTCGGCGGTGTTAGCGTGCTCGTAAACACGAGTTTGGCCATGAACATCGATTCCTTTGAATAACTAACAACTGGAATCGGACGATCATAGTCAATCCTCGTCGTCTAGACATTCATATCAAATTAAGACCAAGATAAGGTGGACTTGGAAAAGTTCTACAGAAAAAACCATATCTTCTTTAAAGTTATAACTGGGTATTTCAACGTTAAGATTGAACCCTGAAAGACATCACACTAGGATCGACGGATTAGAGTGGAACGAACAAGTAGTCGACTTCCTGTTTGCTATAACAGTCAATACCATCCGTAGTAAATCACAATTGCAGAAAGTTCATTCTCAACGTTAGAAATGGGAGTCTCACAATGGACAGCATCACAATAAAATTGACCACATCACTGCAAATTCAAGGTTCTGCTTAATCGATATCGCTGTTACCCCAAAATTTTGCACGGATCAGACTATTGTCTGCTCCTCGCAATATCCCACTTTTTGCGGGAAAGGAGAGCCGAAAATTTAAGAAACAAAATCCCAAAATCACCATGGAAGGGGATGTGCTCACTAGTCAACCGTTGGGAAGATATCGACAAATTCGACAAAGTGAACGACCGGCTTATTCAACATCATCACTTTAGCGCTATGAAAACCGAGAGTTCAAAAGGCAAGATAAGTCGTCTTTCTCCGAGAACACTGGAGCTACCACGTCAACGTCTCACGCACGTAGCAATAACATGCAAGAACCACACGTATTCGTCAACTCATGTCCGAACTTGTAAAACACTACAGAGGGGCGGTAAAGGAAGACCTTAAAGAGAGATTTACCGAAGTTGCAGAGGATAGGGAAAAAAGCATTTAGAAATCCCTCCGAAGCTTCGCCAATTACATAATCAATATGATTGCATTTCGATACTCAGACGGAACAGTTACATCTCCCAGAAGAAAATGGAGAAAACCATTCATGATTACTACTCGGATCTCTTCAGCAGCTACGTCCTCCTGTCCTCATACCAAATAAAGGAAGATGGATATGCCGGCCCAAATGGTTCTCCTTCCTTAAATCTGACATGCTATTTCATCGGTAAAGAATCGAACAACAACAGGTGCGGACAGGATAAGACCTGAACACCCGAAGAACCTTTCGCTAATCCTCACCAATCACACTTCTTTGTCCCTTCACAAGTTACCTGTCGGAGTGCAAGATTCCTATCCAACGGAAGACCAGCAAGACCATATTACTGTTCAAGAAGGGTGACCGCGATATTGACAACTTTCGCCCAATCTGCTTGCTGTCTGTTGTCTACATGATTTTCCCTTAAATCATCTCAAGTACGATTGACAGAACACTGGAAGAAGGACAGAAATGTGACCAAGCAGGGCTTCAAAAAAGACTCAGTACAATGAACTACGTCCATACAACAACAACACCATTTGAAGTGTCGCAAAAGTACAAGGGACCGTTATATCTCACTTTCATCAATTTAAAGGATTTGAGTCATAGAAGTCCTCACTAGGAGGTTCCTACTCAGCTTATGAAGATTCTTCGCAGCTGTATAGAAATTTCACAGCCAAAATATCACCGTTCCATCACGATATTAACATCAACGTCAAAAGACGGATCAAAAGGCAGGGCGATGCTATTTTGGCAGTTTTTTGTCGCCATCCTCCAGAACGTCATGTCAACATTGGAATGGGACAACATAGGAGACAAAATCCATGGTCGGCTATTACATCATTTTCGCTCTGCTGACAAAATTGTTTTTATGGCACCAAGCATTGGCCAGTTAGAAAAATGCTTATCGACTTTGTTAATCTCACAAAAACGATGTTCATGAGGAACGGATTGGTTTCGTATGCCCCATTCACACTTAAAGGAACTGATATCTCCGGTTGTCTATCTAGGTCGGGAAATCAACATGAGAACGCTTAACCCCGAAGTTGAGCAGGAGGAATTGAGCTGCTTGGGATGCTTTCAGTAGTATAGAGAATGTAGTGAAGGGGACAAAGAACACCCGACCACATGTCCACCTTTTCAACTCTACGATTCTTCCTGCCATAACGTACGCGTCAGAAACCTAGTAGATACTTAAGCAGGATGAGAGACCACTCATCGTTTCGGAACGGGCAGTCGATAGTACGATGCTAGGAGTATCCTTTACCACGCAAGTGACGGAGGGGATCCGAACCTCTGACTTACTTCAATTGAAACACTGCTTCCAGAGAGGCAATGGCGAAAATCATTCACGAATACTACTCAAATCTCTTCGATGACCACGTCCTCTTGCCCTCAGACCAAATAAAGGAAGATGTATACGCCGGCCCACCGGTTCTCCCTTCTGAAATCCGGCATGCTCCTCCCTCGATAAAGAATCGAACAACAACAGGTGTGGACAGGGCAGGACCTGAACACCCTAAGAACCTTCCTTCCCTCAATCCATATAAACACACCGACTGGGCTCTTAACACCTTGTCTGTAGGAATGCAAAGTTCTTATTAAGGGGAATGTCAGCAAAGACAGCGCTGTTGCCGTACAAATAGGGAGAATAGAGAAACCGCGAGATTGGCAGCTGTTGCTCAATCTGCCCAATGCTTGTTGTCTACAAACTCTTAGCATCAGAGAGATTGACAGAACATCGAACGAAGACAGTTATTTGAGCAAGCAATGTTTCAAAAAGGATTCAGTACGACAGACGACATCCATACCATCGCAAGATTCGTCGAAGTACCGTGTAAGTACAAGAGTCCGCTCTTTCTCACTTTCGTCATCTTAAAAAAGGCCATTCACTCAGTTGACACAGAAGCGAGCAGAAAAATGTACAGCCAGGGCGCTGCCGCTCAGTACATAAAGACCCTTTGTGGGCTCTGTACAAGTTTCGCATCCAGGACATCACCAATTTACAACATTAAAATCAACCACAACGTTGCTGAGATATTTGCAAAACTCTGGACCGCAGGTGTCTATGGTGGGGAACGAACGCGCTATTGTCCTTTCCGGGGAGTAACGCGTTCACCACCACACCATGCGGGTCCTTTGTTTCGCACGTCTCTCAGCTATTTCTACCGATCTTTTTGCCACAGCAATCACCCGTCAGCGGGGTTGATCTGGGGAGCGCAAATCGGCATAGAACCCAGTTAAGCTATGGCTGTAGTTGAAATCACAATGTTTAACGTTTTGTTTTCTGCCTTCTATAATTTTCATGGCAGGTTACTAAGTAAGCGAAATACAACCACAACGTTGCTGAGATATTTGCAAAACTCTGGACCGCAGGTGTCTATGGTGGGGAACGAACGCGCTATTGTCCTTTCCGGGGAGTAACGCGTTCACCACCACACCATGCGGGTCCTTTGTAAAATGCGGGTCTGAACACTATTCTCTCTATTTGTACGGCAACAGCGCTGTCTTTGCTGACATTCCCCTTAATAAGAACTTTGCATTCCTACAGACAAGGTGTTAAGAGCCCAGTCGGTGTGTTTATATGGATTGAGGGAAGGAAGGTTCTTAGGGTGTTCAGGTCCTGCCCTGTCCACACCTGTTGTTGTTCGATTCTTTATCGAGGGAGGAGCATGTCGGATTTCAGAAGGGAAAGGACAATAGCGCGTTCGTTCCCCACCATAGACACCTGCGGTCCAGAGTTTTGCAAATATCTCAGCAACGTTGTGGTTGTATTTCGCTTACTTAGTAACCTGCCATGAAAATTATAGAAGGCAGAAAACAAAACGTTAAACATTAAAATCAACGTAAAGAGAAGAGTTCGGCATGACGATATCATCTCGGCAAAATCAATTACAGTGAGCCACGAGATCGTAATGGCAACAATGGAATAGGACATCATCAGAGGTAGTAAATATGCGTTATCTGGGTCAGAGAGTCAAAGTAAGGAACGACTTGTCTAAGTATTGGGGAGGAAGAAGCTAGCGACTTAGGGAGCTTTCAAGAGAATCGAAGATGTAGCGAAGAGGACGAGGAACACACAAATACGCGCCCACATTTTTGAGCCTACCATTCTCCCTGCCTTAACGCATGCCTCAGAAAGTTGGTCGCTACGCAAACAGTATGACGCCAATAAAAAGGACGATACTAGGAGTATCCCTTATCGCACAAATAAGAAAGGGAATTCGAAATGCAAACCAATGTTATTGACCACAGAAACGCTGCGGCAAAACGTTGAAAATTAGACGGACTGGACACATAACTCGTCTTAACGATAATAGGTAGAAAACAGCCATTAGAGAGGAGTAAATGAAATCACATTGAGTGTGAACAACATAGCAACAAAACCACCAAACCGAGTAATACGGCTTCATCACGAATATTCTGCAAGAAATATGATGTTTCTTGAACAAATAAGAGCAGCACCTACTAGGCTAGTCTTGCACGTAATACGGCCAAAAGGAGACCTTACTGAGTCCGCTCGAAGCACTCGGTTATCAACAGGAGAAAGGTGACATGGGGGTGCACTTGACTGAAGTTCAATCAAATATAGACAAATTGTGTACATTATTATTTCAAATAAAATTTAACCACTGGAATAGTCTTTTCATTACATGTTACTATTTCATGCCATCTTTTCAATATAGCACTATCGTGATCAATTTGAAGAATCGGCCAAACGTGATTAAATATAAGAGCCAACTCTTCCACAAATCGAATCGACTACTGACGATGTACTGTAATAATATGAAGTAGAAGAGCGAATAAGCATTGAATTGTTTTATTATAAGCCGCAGACTCGCTTCCTTTAATACGATAACAAAAGCATTAAAAAAGAAAGATACAAAATTTCCAGGTTTGAGGTCGTTTTGTTTCAAATTCAGTAGCGTAGGTAGGTAAGTACCCTTGTGACGAACGGTGATTAAAAACACCAGACCACAAGAATATATCTTGGAGCCTTTCCTCCTTTCAACTTAACCTATTTGCGTGAAGGAAATAGAAACTAAAAGAAAAATAGACATGTCTTTAATAAACCCAAATAGTGATAGGGTGAGCGTCCACTCATGAACCAACTTCGGTTGGCAGATCTGTACGGCATGTCACGAACAGGTAGCACAAGTTTGGATGGATAAAATGAATAACACAGCGCACCGCCCAAGAAATACACAAAAAACCTACGTGATGGGGTAAAAGCCTGACAATCACTTTGAAACCTCGAACCTTCATCAGATGTGATATGTAACGTAGAGCGGTGACTGACAACTGACCCAAACTTTTGTCGAGGCTGCCTAAAATGAGATGAAAACCTTAGAAACCAGAGTACCACTTACTAAGATACTTGGATTGCTCGTCCTCAGTGGTTGTGCACAATTTCTGTTATTTCGAGTTTTGCTGGCTTAATCATTGTGGTTCTCTGTAGTCCCGGTGTTAGCATGGCCAAAGTCTGCCCCAGGTCGTCACCACCACGGGCAGTCTCCACCACTATGGATCGTAGGGAGGTTTGTCATGCGACTAGTTTGATACCACGACGGTGGTAGACCCTGGTATTGGATTACTCTTGGCTGGTTTTCCTGATAGAAACGCTGAACTCCTTCTCAGCTTGAGTGACCCTGATGGGAGGAATGAATCCCTCCGCTGTAAATCGCAATCCTACACCCAGGAACACCTCCCAGCCACGATGAGACGGTAAACCGTTGGGTGGAAAATGAGTATTAACAAAAGACAAGGATCGTACCTGAAGATGGAAGTGTAATGAATGATTCCAGCGTCTTTAACAGCATGGGTATCATGCAATCAAGCAAATTAGGTTGTTCTTGGTAGATATCGAGTAGGCGAGCATATCGATCGAAGTCATTCTGAGCCACTAGTTTTTGTTAAGACATGTAACAATGCAAGAATGTATGACTTACATCCAGTGCATCGCGTTTCCCTTCAATCACGATGTCAGGAAGAGATCTGACGATATTCTCCAGAACTTCACGATGACTGGCTAACAGCATTCTCGGTAGGCAGCCAACAACATCCTCTTCATTACCGTCGCTACTTGGCCGCCGACTTGGATCATCAGACTCAGATTTGAATTTCATACTGGAAAACACAACAAGGAAGAAATCCGAGAAACGTCCACAAAGTGAGCACTGAAATTTTCTATAACAAGAATGTTCATAGCAATGAGACGGGACGGTGGACAATAAGTTCAACAAAAGTCTTTAAAAAATGGGAACAAGGCCCCAAGATACGACTCAAATATGACTCATTGGTTTCCGAAAAAAGAAGTGCTCTTAACACAATACATTAAGCTATGTAAGTACTGCCATGCAGAAAATAGTACAAAGAAGTTCAGTCGTTGACACAAAATCGCGGAATCGTAACTTACAACCACTCAGTCACGTAAGGCACTAAGGGAGATAACTTTACTCACGATCCCTCTCAACTTGCAAGGTTTCTTTCTCAAAATAGGAATCCTCCCCAGAAAGGCATAATGAGTCACCCCCAAACCACAACTTGATTTTGAGTAAACGTCACAAAGTTCAGTCCTGATGCTAACATTGATTGGAGCGCGAAAACTGCAAGTGTCTATTCCCTGATTGTTATAACCTCGTTACACTTTATTTACACTCTTCATCTCTAATCAATAACTCAGTAGTGATATGTTATAATGTGACTTATGTCCTTTTAAAGTAAAAACGAGTAACAAAAGTCATCAGAGATGTGGATTTTACCAGATATATTCTAATGTCGTGTTAGAAAATGAAGGACTCTCAGACGTATTATGTTGTTCGGAAATTAATGCAGGAGTTTGACATATGTCTAAAGCAGCATATTAATGAGAAGGCTTGTCTATTCCAGTTGAGAGGGGAATAGCGAAGCGGTGAGTGATGCCATCGATCCAGAAGTAAAGGAGATAGTTCAATCTGCTCTCCAACGCCCTCCCAAGCGACGTGGGAACGCCTTAGCTAGGCTATCTCTTAAGAATGCAAAGGAAATCGACTCAAGTATCATTCAACGACATTCATAAAAAGACGAAATCCTCAAGCAGCAGCCGAAACAACACGCGAAGTGTTCGAAGACCATTGTGGACGATAAACGCGAGAAAGATGAATCGAGAATGCATGAAGTACTGGGGTCCGCACAGCGCGTGTGATGACAGGTCATGTGGAGTGAGGTAAAATGATGGTTTTTCACTGCAATCGTTTCACCTGAATTCAGGAAGTTGCGAGGGACTAAAGCATCGGCGAATCAGGGAAAGGTCAGCTTGACCTCTCGGTGGAACGTCGGTTTTGAAAGCGGTGCGCGCTTCATCCCGATCCATTCCCTAATCCGATCGACACCAGCTGTCAAAAAGGATCCATTTCACTCGTCACAGTACGGTCGAGAAATAGGTCGTTCTGATGGCGCTGAAGCGCGTCCAACGATATCTTAAAATTCAGTTTGTACGGCATCTATTCGTCGACCATCTTCAACTTTAAAGTTTTTTTCGACGTTCAATGGGGACGCTTACACCGAGGTCTTTTGCAAGTTCTCGAAGCTGAGCGGGTGGTTGCTCCGACCAAAGCTTTCAATTCATCGCCATCAATAGCGGAAGAATGTCCGCGACTTTCTTCATCTTCAACGTTGCCAAAATTGCTGCTTTGACATCTGAAATGCCAACCTTTAATTCGTTGTTTTCTTGATGAGTACAAAAGTGGTTGTCACCACACTCTTTATCCGAGAAAACGGACGTTTCGGCAGATTCCGCCTTCTTCAGATCATGGATAAGTCAAGTTGATAGCTTCTACAGTTAGGAGCTGACAACTTAACTACAAGAATTGACCCTTCTTGTATAAAACTTCTAATGTTCACGTATAATAAATCCTTCTCGTATAGAACTTGAAACACAACAGTTTACAAGATGCGTTATCAAAACAATCTAAAAGAAATGCTTAATTTTACAAAGATATTGAGTTATCTGCAAAACTCCGCACCTCAGATGTTTACGGTAGGGATCGAACACGCTATTGCTTTCAGGGGGCTAATGGGTTCACCACTACACTACTGTTATTACTATTAATACTATCGTCAGTCTCATAACACCTTGCAGTGAAAAATTGCAACAGGCAGTAAATAAAAACGTTAACAAAGTTTATTATATTACATTACAACGCCTAGTACGAACCTACCTAGCATATATTGTAGCAAATCGACAGAGTTTATGCATGTAAACAGAATACTCCCATCAACATCTGACTGGTTGTTACGAAAAGGTTAATTTTCAAGTCTTAAATTCTTATTAGGAAGTACTATAGGAGAAAGGCAAGCTAAACCACGCAGAAGAGAAATTACTCAAATTGCTATGAGTGGAGTAGGACATCCATCGGAAGTAGATGACGGATCAGGAGGTCCCTGATGCACTCAGTGGTGGAGCAATCAAGGCCGCCTGTACATAGAGTTCGTCACTCATTTGGAGAGGTGGAAAGTCGACGAGATATAAATGAAAGCTCCGGGCATTGAACTAAAAGAAAAGTGCATGGCAAACCTAAAATAGTGTGCGGGTCTACTTAAAAAATTTATGAACTTTTCAAAAAATTGTCGGAGAACACTTACAATCTTTTGGTGGAAGTGGAGGACAGGTCTCTAGGCAATGCTGTGCTGACCTGATAGATGATACAAAGTGCCTGGACGAAGATTATTTTGTCCGCGACTCTTAAAAAGTATATAGAAGAATTTTCTAATTGAGTCACTAAATATGAGATGAAATCCTTCACACATTGACGACGATTTGCATAGAATAAAATGCATGAGTGGTAGAGAATAATTGAATTCTTTAAATTTAAGCCAACGTCAAGTGGAAGTAAAAGCATTAGAATTTAAAACATTGCATTTTCAAGAAACCGAATACGTTCTGAAGTCGTTTAGCTACAAGCACTATTCCTCAGCACATAATTACCAAAGTGGTTTAATAGTTCCCAGGATCGACTTTCTATTAACCTCGGCATTGGAATATGAATGTGTCGTTTTCTTGTTCAGCAATCGCGAGGTTTTCAAACAGCACACATTTACTTCCATAGAGGTGGTTTAAATTTTTACTCACTGGATGTTCAAGTTGTGGATCCACTGAAGATTCTCCCATTTTTGCTCGGTTCTAAAACAATGAGTAAAATATATATTTTCATTCTTATTTTATACGACCCATCTTCACGTCCATCTGTGCGCATCCCATCACCCCTCACATTCGTTTCGTCTCCTCGCATCCATCACCCACAAAGGTCTTCTAGCTCTTACATGCAGCTTCGCCTGCTGCTTGGTGATTTTCACTTCATGTTGAATGTCGTAGAATGCTGGTCGAGTTGATTCTCCCTGGAGTCATGAGAAAGCCGATCTGGAGCAATCCCAGTTGGACTGCACAGAGTAATTTTCTCCTGGAAAAATCTGGTACTAGTTTCCTAACCTCGAAGGGATGAGAGGTTTGGTGATCCTGGGGCAAGATATAATGAACATCGTGCACGTGGTGATGGGCATCACTACCACTGTGCCACCTGCCCCATACAGACTGTATAAATACAAGTGTAAACTTTTACAACATAATATCTACGATATAATACAAATACGGTATAGTATATATGACACAATACAAATAAAATACATACGGCATGTATGATTTTGGTACTAATCTCGTATAAGCTCATGTATAGAATAATACATCGATTTCTCTTGCTAGGTTAGGTCCAAATTGGTTTTGTAAAACAAATACATGAATGTATAAGTACATGTTACTTGGATATTTGGATAGCCCGTCTTCACTGGTTGTGTGGGCCCCAGCATGATTTACATTTTTTGTTGGAGTTTTGCTGGTTTAGCTATTGTGGTTCCCTGGAGTCCCAAGGTCAGCCTAGCCAAAGACTGCCCCAGATCGTCACCACTACAGGCATCCGCCGCCTTTGAGGATCAGAAGGAGATTTGCCACCATGAGACTAGTCTGATACCAGGACGGTGGTGGATCTTGGTATTCGTTTACAATAAACTGGGCTTTCGGAAAAGAGGTGGAAACGCCGGACTCATCCGCTTGGGAGGCCTTGTTGGGATGATGTATCTGATCGCTGTACAACGCAACCTGACACTCAGGTACACCCAGCCACGATGAGGCGGTAAACCGTTGGGAGGTGCACGTATATAGATACATACACAAACATATATACATGTAATGCCAATGAATAACGTACCACTTGCTGGTGCTGCCCCGTGCGGAAGTAGTGCACCATCCGCTCTTCTGCATCCATGTCGCTCCAATGAATTCTGCTTTTCTTACGCATTGAGCGGATTGATAGCAACACTTATACCCACTGAGGAAAGCATAAGGCTCCTTCTATAAGCTTCTTAAGGTCCGAACTCCTGAAATACTCTAATCATTGAAAAATTGTCCAGATTTGTCGAAAAACTGGCATCCCACACAGTGTGAACCTTTTTTTTTGACAAGCAACACGTTGTTCTTCCATTTTCAACGGCTATTATAAATGGCAGGTATTCTATGGAATGGGTGGACGTTAAAACCACAAAGTAAACACCGTAATATTCTTTGTAAAACTTACACAATTTCATTAAATTCCTAAAGTACTATGATTGGATGGTGGACGAGTTTTCCTTTGCCAAAAGTTGGATACGGTCCAATACCATGAGCAAATGATCATATTGGGTATGCGAGGAGACCGAGTAATAGGACAGTAATCTCAAGAAACAAGTACGCCGTGACTGTTGTGCGGGATCTAGGACTGCACATTTTGATTTTGATGCGCATTCTGATTGCGCTCCAACAACAGGCAATCTGACGAACCTTACACTCGAAAATGACTGTGGTTGTGAACGGGATTTCCTTTATAATCACCGTTAAGGGGCATGGTTTCTCCTCTTCAGCTATCTTGGGGACCTGCCGTTTCTCAGCCATTCGAAATGGCTCTTGCCGCCCCATATTCCAGGATTCTTCCCTCTGCTCTCTACCTGTGCACACGATGGTGGCGGTTCGAAACATGTTTTTTATAACCGCTCTTCTGGAGTGTGAGGGTGAGAGGAGAGGTAATGAACCACTATGTTTTTACCAGTTGGTTTTCGGTAC